TTTAGTTTTTAATTGTGTTACTTTCATGTTTTATGTGTTCACTTCAGTAGTATTAAGTAAATTCTCATCATTGTAAAACTGATTTCTAAATTTTTTTTATCTTCCAAAACGGAAACTCTTTTTACATTTAACAGCAACAACAGAACTCCATGTCCCCTCCCTCCATTTCCTAGTAATCACTGTTGTGCTTTGCTTCTACGCATCTGAGTACTTTAGAGATACCTCATATAGATGAAATTATACAGTGTGTGTAGTTTGTGACTTGGGACTTCAGAGAGACATTTACAGCAGCATTATCTACAACAGTCCAAAGGCAGGAGCAACCCAAACGGTACTCAGATGACAGACATGGAGTTCTGTTGTTGCTGTTAAATGTAAGAAGAGTTTCCATTTTGGAAGATAAAAAAAATTTAGAAATCAGTTTTACAATGATGAGAATTTACTTAATACTACTGAAGTGAACACATAAAACATGAAAGTAACACAAAGTCTGACTTATGTGACTCAGCAGAGTGTTACCTACTCAGAATTTGCCCATGTGGTGGCATGTAGCAGGATCTCCTCTTTAAGGCCAAATAATACTCCTTTGAATGGACAGCTCACACTTTGCCTGTCTGTCATCTGAGTACCGATTGGGTTGCTCCTGCCTTTGGACTGTTGTAGATAATGCTGCCGTAAATGTCTCTCTGAAGTCCCAAGTTTAATTCCATTGGATGGATCCCCAAAAGCAGGGTTGCCAGACTGTTGTGTGATTCTCTTCTTAGGAGCCACTATGCCATTTTCCATAGTGGCTATACCGTCTTACAGTTCTGCCGTCTGTACAGGGATGTCTGTTTGTCCACATCTTCATCAATACTCATTATTCTCTATTTTATTTTGCTATCAGCCATATTCATTAGTATGCGGTATTATCTTATTGTTTTATCTGTATTGCTGTAATAAGTAGTGTTGAGACTTTTTATATAATGTTGACCATGTGTATGCCATCTCTGGTGAAAATGCCTATTCAGCTATTTTGCCTATTAAAAAAAATTCGGTTATTACATTTTGTTGTTAAGTTGTAAGGGTTTTGGATATTTATACCTTATATTTTTGTAAGTATTTTTTCCTATTCCACAAGAGTAGAATCCACAGGATTCCGTTTTTACTCTTGATTGATGCACTTTGAGCCTTTAAGCTTGATATAGTTCACTTGCTGATTTTTGCTATACTTTTGCTGTCATATCTAAAAATAATTGTCAAATCCAATAGTATTAAGCTTTTCGCCTAAGTTTTCTTCTATTGAGTTTTATAGTGTTGGGTCTTACTTAAGGTGTTTCTATTTTGAATTAAAGTTTGTATCTTGTGTAAGATAAGGGTCCAACTATTGCATGTAGACATTTAGTTTTCGCAGTGCCGTTTGTCGAAGAGACTTTTTTTTCTCCACCAACTTGTCTTGACCTCCTCATCCAATGATCCTTTGATCATGCATTTCAGGCTACTTTATTTTATTGGCTTCTACGTTAGTTATAATGGCAGTACTATACTACATACTGCATTTTGAAATCAGGAAATGTAGGACCTCAGACTTTGTCTTCTTCCAGATTGGCTGTCAGAGTCTATGAGATTCAAAATGACTTTTAGGATAGATTTTTCTATTTCTGTAAAAATGTCATTGTGATTTTAGTAGGGGTTCTATTGAATTTGTAAACTGCTAGGGTACTATTGATATCTGAACAATATTTAATCTCCAAATCCATGACCTAATCCATGTGTCTTTTAAAATTATTTTCAGAAATATTTTGTAGTTTTCAGTGTGCTTGAATGTCATTTAAGTTTTTAAGAGACTGGATGAATATTAGTAAAGCCATTCTAACTTGTCAGAAATAGATCATTAAGGAGCAAAAAATATACCATTCAAGCCCATATTTAAAAGAAAAGATAGAACATAAGGGCCTAAGATGAAAGCAAGTATCCTTTTTCCAAGCTCAAGGAGCCAGTCTTTATGGTTTTGGTATCATTTGCCACATAATTTCTTTGCATGTGTAAGCAAGTGTATCAATTTTACATTCATGGTGTACCATGTATTGTGCAACTTGGAGCTCTTTATATATGGGGTTGGTCTTCTTAATATATGTCTCATTTTTAAAAATGAAGGTATGGGGCCGGGGAGATGGCTCAGTGGAATAAGCGCTTCCCTGGCAAGCACAAGGGCCTGAGTTCAATCCCCAGTTCTGCCAAAAAAAAAAAAAAAAAGAAGGTATAATTGACAAATCAAAAGTATACATATTTCCAGTATGTATATCTCATTTTTAATGACTGTAAAATATTTCACTGTACATAGCTGCCCTAAACCATTTGAGCAGCCTCTTCTTGATAGTTCCCATATTCAGCCTGTGGTAACTGTTGGCCACTCAGTCATGTTCCTAGAATCTGAACTCAAAAATATTAATCTTAGTCAAATCTGCCATCATGGTAAAACAGAGCAGGAATGACACCAGGGCTTTTTGTGTTTTGTTTAGAACAAATTCTTTGAAAGAGACAGTCTTTTTGTGTCTGATCTTGAATCACCCAGTAAAGCAATTAGTGTTAACACCTAATTACTTTAGACAATTACAGAATTGGGTGGAGAGGACACACTAAATAGCATCAGCTCTTTTTTTATTTTTTTCATTTCCTTTTTGATGACTGTGGAAGGACTTTATTTTGCCTGGGTTTCAACCTGGACCTAGGTCAAAAGTGTAGTAACTCACAGAATTAGAATCCAGCAAAGATCTTTCTTCACCTCTTGTTTGGCTCTTGTAGTGTCATAAATATTTGTGTAGCTCTATGAATAACTTCCCCAAATTTAGCAAACAGACAGGAATCACCAAGGAGAAAAATGCTGCTTGTTGCAGTTGCTGTTATTTTTATTTTTACTGACTTTTTTAACTTTCTTCAGCGAAAAGAGTTAATTGTGAATTCACCCACCAGGACCTGTGTACTCTTGGAGCATGCCCACTAGCTTGCATAGCTTGCCTTTCCCCGTGCCCTGCTATAAAAGTCTAGGCATTAGCTTTACAGTGTTTTGTACAGGGAAGGTAGTTTTGAAATGCGTATTAATAGTAGAACAACCTTTGTTTTTCTGAGAACAGATCCTTCAGGTTTTTACTTTCTCAAGACTCCGCCTTTGTGTGCTTCCTCACTTTTGGAAATTGCATCAGTCTGTAGTTCTTCCAGGCCATCTGGAATTTCTGGAAGTCACTTAGAGCAACAACATTATCAGAACAGAGTCCTGATGCCTTAAGCATCTCCCCAGAGCTTGACAGTCCAGTCCTGTTGACTGATACTGGCATTCAGATGTGCTCACTGACCTCTGAGCTATGCATAGTTATATTCTAGTAGTTTGTTACTGTTTCATAAAAATGCGTTGCTTTTTTCCTGTGGACATTTGCTTCTAAAATGATGATTACTTTGTCTCACTGGGACAGTTAATCATTTGTAGTTCTCCAATCCGCTGATTTCCTTTCTAAATGTCTTCTGTGAATATTTGAAATGGAAGGCATAGCCAGAAGTAATTATTCTTATCTTATAGGACTAATATCAACATTCAGAATAAAATTGCTTTCAGTTCCTTGATAAGATCATTGTGTAAGACCATCAGTTATGGTGTATATCTAGATGTTCCCCAAAGCCGCTTGTGCGCCCACGTGGGCTCTGGCAGCTGACTGGGTCATGGGGTGCGGTGCTTATCAGTATGGATAAGTTCACAGATGTGTTTATAGCCAGTTGTGATTTGGGAGGTAAAGCTCCCCTGGAGGAGGTGGCCACTGGACGTGTGGCCGGAAGGGACCATCTCCTTCTATCGTCCTTGATCTGTCTGCATCCTGCTGCCAAGACGTGAGCAAGCCTCCTTTGCCTTGTTGCCTTGCCGGGGAGCCGGCTGGCTGTGGCCTAGCACCACTGCGAACTGTGAAGCAGAGTAAACCTGTCCTCCTTAGAGTGTGGCTGTCGGATATTGTGCCTTGGCAATGAGGAAGTACCTGAGACAGTGCTCTTCCAAATTCATGGGATCATCGTCTTCATTTTGTTCTCTGAACAGAGTGGTGACTCTTCCTGACTGATAAAGAAGACCACATGCATTTCTGTCATTAAAGATAGAACTTCAGGAGCATGTACTGGAGAACATTGTTGGAAATCAACTTTAAAGTTGCTGCAGCCAGACATTCAGTGGCCAAGTAAGTAGGATTTAATATGAATTATATATACTTTCTTAAAACATCTGAAAGTGAAGTTTTGAAAATTGTACTGAATTCACTTCTATAAAAATATACATTTTAATTTCATTACATATTAAAGATATACCAAGTAACACATAGCATTCATTCAGGAGCAAACTTATTCTGGGGTGTGTCTGTGTTACTTTCAGGATTTTTAAAAATTTATCTTTTTGGTACATTTTAGATATACATAGTCACCACATGGGATTTGGACCTGTACATAATATATTGTGAGTCTTCTTTTGTTCCCCTTTCCCTTTATTCCTTTCAACCCCACCTCCCCGCCTCATTTATGAAAGCTTTGTTTCCGTTTTTTCCTTCTAATCTTTTCCCTTCCTTCCCTTTCCCCCTCCTTAGTTCCCTTACCCTTTGAATGTTTTCTTCCTATATCACAGTATCTAAGGATCATTTTGATCTTTATTTATGTGTTCAGTTTCTTGCACCAGATAAACCATGTGATAATTGAACATGTGTGTCCGATTTATTTCACTTAAGAGTATGGTCTCAAGGTGCATCCATTTGTCTAAAAATGTCTCCACTTTATCCTTCTTTATGGTAGAGAAGCACTCCATTGTATAACACAGCCGCATCTTCTTTATCCATTCATCAGTTGACGGGCATTTGGGCTGCTTCCAAGATTTAGCTGTTACAAATTGGGCTGCTATAAACATGGGTGTACAGATATTACTGTGCTATGATGCTTTTAATTCTTACAGAGAGATACAAAGGAAGGGAATGACTAGGTCAAATGGAACCAGTTTTAGGTTTTTGAGGGATCTCCAACTGATTTCTACAGTGGTTGCACTAGTCTACTGTACAGTCCCTCCAGCATTTGTTATTGGTTGATTTCTCTCTCTCTCTCTCTCTCTCTCTCTCTCTCTCTCTCTCTCTCTGTGTTTTTTTTTTTTTTTTTTTTTTTTTTGGTACTGTAGTACAGGGTCTACAGGATCTCGCTCGCTACATAGATCAGAATCATAGTGATCTGCCTGTGTTCGGCCTCCCAAGAGCTGGGATTAGAGGTATGCGCCACCATGCCCAGTCTCAGTCACCCGGGGTGGGGGGAGGGTGGGGGTCTGGCACAGCATGATGGGGATCAGACCCTGGCTGCTGCTTCTGCCTAAGCAGGCGACTTAATTTGCTGAGCTATTTGGCCGGCCTTTGATTTTGTGATAAAAGCCATTCTGTATGGAGTTAGATGGAATCTCAGCATTGTTTTAACAACCAGTGATGTTGAACATTATTTTGCAGATTTATTTGCCATTTCTACTTCATCTGGGATATAGCTCTTCACATCATATGTTCATTTTTGAATTGGTTCTTTAATTTTTTTTTAATTTTATTTATTTATTTTTTTGTGGAACCAGGTATTGAACTCAGGCCCTTGTGCTTGCCAGACAAGCGCTTATTCTACTTAGCTATCTCCCTGGCCCTGGTTCTTTAACTTTAGAGGGTCTGATACATATATTTAAGATATTAGTCCTTTGAGGAACAGCTTGCAATTTTTTTTCTACTCTGTAAGTTATCTCTTCACTCTGTTGATGATTTCTTTTGCTATGTAAAGTGTTTTTTAAATACATGAGATCCCAGTTAATTCTTTGTCATATTTCCTGTGTAACTGGAGTTTCCTTCAAAACATCTTTATATCTTCAAGAGTTTTCCTTAATCTATCTTCCAACAGATTTAGTGCTTCTGGTTTTTAGTGTTTTTTTTTTTGTGTGTTGTTTTTTTGGTGGAACCAGGGATTGAACTTAGGCCCTTGCACTTACCAGGGAAGAGCTTATTCCACTGAACCATCTCCCCGGCCCCAGTGTTTCTGTTTTAATTTATTTTAATTTTTTTTTTTCTTTTGCCTTTTGAGATAGGGTTTCACTATGCAATTTAAGCTGGCCTGGAAAGCTCAACAATTCTCCTTCCTCAGCCTCTTCACTGCTGGGATTAGCAGTATGTGCCACCAAGCTTCACCCCGTGTATTTGTTTTAATATTTATATCTGTAATCCATTTGATTTTAGTTTAGTACAAAGTGAGAGAAGGCCAGCCAGATAGCTCAGTGGATTAAAGTATCTGCTTAGGCAGACAAAGGGACTGGGGGTTCACCCCCAGCTTGCAGTGCTGGCTCCACCTGTGGGGCGCACTGAGACTGTGAATGCGATTGGATGTGGTAGCACACATCTGTAATCCCAGTGCTTGGGAGGCTGAAAAGCAGGAAGGATCACTATGAGTCAGATCTGTGTAGTGAGACCCTGTAGATCCTATACTAAAAAAAAAAAAAAAAAAAAAAGGTGAGAGACATGGGTTTAGTCTTTGGCATATGGAAAGCCTGTTTTTCTAGCACCATCTATTGAAGCGGTTTTCTTCCAGTGGAGATGTTTGGCATCTTTGTCAAAGATAGGGTGGCTGAGTGTGTTTGGAGTTGTTTCTGCATCTTCTCACCTGTTCCGCTTATCCTCAGGTCTGTTTATTTTTGCCAGTACCATGATGTTTTTATCACCATAGCTTTGTAGTGTAATTTCAAGCCAGGGACTGTGATGCCCCTGCCTTGCCTTCTTTTTTCTTTTTGGTACCAGACATCAAACTCAGGACCTTGTGTGCCAGGCGCGTGCTTATGCTGCTGAGCCATTTCCTCAGCCCTTGTCTTGTCTTTTTGCCTGAACTGCCTTTGCTATTCTAGGACTCTTCTGGTTACACATAAATTTTAGGATTGTTTTCTCTGGTTCTGTGAGAAATGCTATTGGTATTTTGATTGTGATTGCATTAAATCTGTATAACAATTTTGGAAGTAAGGCTGTTTTCACTGTATTGGTTTTTCCTACCCAAGAACAAGGGAATCTTGCTTTTCCTCCACCTTGCTTTGCTTTGTCATGTGTGTGTGTGTGTGTGTGTGTATGTGTGTGTATGTGTGTGTATGTGTCTGTCTGTCTGTCTGTCTCTCTTTGTCTGTCTCTCTCACTTTCTCTGTCTGTCTGTCTCTCTCCCTCTCCCTCTTCCCCTCCCTCTCTCCCTACATCCCTCTGGCTGTCTTTTCTTTCTTTCTTTCTTTCTTTCTTTCTTTCTTTCTTTCTTTCTTTCTTTCAGTTTTTTTCTTCAGTTTTTTTGAGGATGCTTATGAAAGTTCTACCATGTAGGAAGGTTGAGAAAGACTTGACTAATGTGTGTCTCTGGGAGTGAGTTTTAAAGGCTGGCACAGCAGTCACATTTTTACTCATAGATGTTCTCATGAGGGCTGGGCAGTTCTGCTTGAAGAGCAATCTAGTGTCCACTAGAGCCACGGAACACATGAAACAAGGCAGGAGTAGAGGCCAGATGTCCTCTTGGCTGTCTCATCGCTATGCTTCGACTTCAGGGTTGTATTACCATCTTTCCATGAGTCTCATTTGAAGATTTATTATATAAGTTTCTCAAGTAGAATTTTTATGAAGGGCAGGGTGTTTCTTTGCAAAAGAGTTCTAGTTCTCACAGTGTGGCACCCGTCTTGAGCCCTGTGGTTTCTGAGCGTTTTCTCTCCCTCATCAGGGACAGGGCTTGTTAGGAGAAGCCTGAGCAGAGGTGTGGTGCATCCCCAGTGCAAAGCTCAGCACGTTCCCCAAAATGAGCCCCTCTGAGCAGCCACTGTTGAGAGACTGGGGCTGGAGTAAACAGTTTACCACACTGTAATTTGAAGCCCAGGAAACACCGTGTACTGAGCTTACCATAGCTTTTTTGTACATTTGTAATGGCAAATGGTGGCTGTGTCCATGTGTGTTCAGGAGGATCTGAGGCAACAGTAGGAGTGCCAGGGTTCTCGGGTGCTTGTATATTAAGACTGCCAGTCAGTTTTTTTATCTTTATGACCAGTTCACAGTTAGACCACTGGCTGAGGAGATGCCTGCATACTTAGGAAACAAAATCATGAGTGGATGAGATCAGTGACCAAGGAAATTGTGAAGGGGAATCAGATCAGTATTGCGAATGTCAGAGGCCTTGCAGTGACCTAACTGCATATGCTATGTGGTAGTTTTCATGCAAGTGGTTAGGCTGGAACACCAAATCTTTCGCATTCTCCAGAGTATGCAGGAAAGCTTCATTTTTAAATGCCCGTTTCTACACAGCCCCTCAAGCTTTCAGAAAATTTCCCACAATTTATAGATAAGCTGACAAGCTACAGAGCTTTTGATTTAGTGATGACAACTGCCCTGTAGAGATTAAGCCAGCCTCATTCCAGGAATTTGCTCTGCTGATACACACAGGAATGCCAGAGAAAGGAATCTGGTCAGCATCTTTCCACCAAACAGTAGTTAACAAATATGAGCTCTCCCTCTAACTTGTTAATATAGTTTGCATTGTCTTTTATAGTGTCCACTTGAGGCATCAGAAACATTTACTGGGCCCTGGGCACTAGACAGCACACCTCAGCTCCTTTACCCCTCATACATGCATACGAGCAGTTTCTCAGCTCTGAAAAGGGTTTTGCACTGGGGATGAGCTGGTGTAATTCTTTAATTAGTGGGTGAGAACTACATGAGCCATCCATTCATTTTCCTTTTTGCCTTTGCTCTTTGGAAACTCCCATCAAAGTTTTGGCTCTCATCTTCCCTCAGATTTCTTCCTGTTCTATCCCGTGGGTCTCCCCCATCTCTGGGTTGTCTTTCATTCTGTGATGGAGGTTTGGTCTCACTGGGTTTTAATCATAGACTCATTTCACTTTTTTACGAAGAGCAGGTGGTGAGGAGAATGTAACTTTTCCTCTTCAGGTGATTAAGGTGGGGGTCAGGAAGTTCAAGTGTCTCCCTGACATCAGGTCCATGAAAGAAGCGGTAGAGCTGGGATATTTGAAGCCTGGTCAGAGTTGTTTGAAGCCTGGTCAGAGCTCTGTGTCTGCCTTGTCACATTGGTGTCAGTGTCACTACCCAACTGCACAGCCCAGCTGTCAGCCTGGGCAGGAGAGGGCTTCCTAGTGGTTACCAGAACGAGGCTCAGCTTA